CGGCGGGTGGGGCCTGTGGATGGGTGAGTGGCTATGCAGCAGTGTCCTCGGTGTGTCCTTTGCCTGAGGGTCTCACGGTGTGTGCCCAACTGTTGGCTGCCTTCTCAGGTGAAGACAGCCACGACCGAAGCCGCCTCAGGTCTTGGGTAGCTCAATAAAGCATACCACTACCCTGCTTCAGACATCTGATTAAACAACAGAAGACACCCCCACCCCAATCCCCCGCCCACTGAAAGCAAAACAAGAAGCAATGATTTAGAAACCACTTTGGTATCTTTGAAATTCAGGGCACTTTTTTTGGGAGAATAATAATTAAAAAATGATCCTCACTGCTGTCACTGAATTGATTCCAACTCATATGCCCACGTGGGTTTCTGAGACTGTCAATCTTTACAGGAACAGGAAAGCCTTGTTTTTCTCCTGCCCACCCCAATAGATAAGAATTATATCATATTTGTGTATGTAACTTTTTAGTTTTTGTAGGTACCTTACAGACAGGAATTCATTTAATCCTCGCAACAGTTCCATGAGACAGACACTGTTCACATCGCCATTGGGTAGATGAGGGCCTGGGGTGCAGAGAGAAGGTTATTGGCGTCTCAAGCCTTTGTGTGGGTCAGTCGGTCATTACTCTCTGCCTGTCCCTCACCTTCCAGCAGAGCCCTGTAGTTGGGTTTCTGGGTAGTAGAGCAGGGAGGGACCAGGCAGTGTTCCTGTCCCTTTTACAGGGCTGCTATGGGGTGAAACGGACTCCTTGTCACCTAACCACAGCAACAGAGTAGGGAGAGGCCACTCTGGGTTACAGCGTGGAACTCTATGAGTATCCGGCTTAAGTGTACAGAACAGAAATGCCGAGAGGGGAATGCAGATTTCAGGCATGGCACAGTCACCTGGTCTCTGGCTGGTAGGAACTGATAGGCCGACTCTGGCTTTTGCTGAGTAGGAGGGCAGCAAGGAGCCCTGGTGGCACAGTGGTCATGGAGGTGGGAATTAAAGGCGATCCCAACAATGGAGCTGGGAGGTTGACAGAACTCTTAGAATGAAGGAAGGCCCCCCCCCACCCCCAAGTTGTTTACCTGAAATTACTGAATGCTTGGCAAGGATGCCAAGGCTTCTTTCCGTTGCTTTGGTGTGGTGGAGGTGAAGGCCTGAAGAAGTGAAATCACATGGCCAAGAGGGGACTTCATAGTGATGGGCCTATGGCTTAGATTCAAGTTCACTGACAACTAGTCCAGAATGCTTTGCATACATTTTGATTCTCCCTTTACCCAGTCTCCACATCAAGGATGGCTCAAAAGGATGGCTTCTTTTCTTGTTTTCAAGCCTGGGGAAAAAGACTTGCCTTTAGATCACAATGGCATGGCAATACCCAGTGAGACGGACTACCTGCAGACGTGGGAGGTAAGTCAGCCGTCACCTCAAATCCCAGCCAGGAGCTTGTAAGGTCTTAAGCTTCTTGTGCACAAACCAGTCCAGGTTGGTCTACTGAAGGCACAGGGTTTGTAGCATAGATCAGAAGTGAGCAGTTGACTGAAGAACTCAGAGACCTCAAATGACTTGTTGGGTGCCTTGATTTAGCTTGGTTCATCTCTCTGCCACATTTGTTTTGGGATAGCTAATTCAGGCCTTCCTCTTTCCCTCCTCAAATACTTGTTTAGTTATTTATTTATATTTTTATTAATCACCTTATTGGGGGCTCTTGCAGATCTTATAGAAATTCATAATGCAATTGTATCAAGCACACTTGTACATATGTTGCCATAATCATTTCCAAACCAGTTTCTTTCTACTTGAGCTCCTTTTTAACCCCTTCTCTCCCCTACCTTTACTTGTTTATTTTTTGACTAAAAAACATTGCATATTCATTACAGGAAATACAGAACAGCTTAAAAAACAATCCATTTCCCCATCACCCAGTGGTATTACCATCTTACAGTTCCTTTTAAAGCATCTTAGAATGATACCTCGGCGGTGTGCTGATGTTTGGGTTGGGATGTGGTAAAAGTGCCGAGGTAGAGTTGGCAGGTTCCCAGAGTACAGATGGAAATTGGTGAAGGGTTGATGAAACATAATGACCATGAGAATCAAGAGGAAAGGATGGGTTTGAGAAACTCCGGGATGTAGAGTTGGTAGACTGGTGTGGGGTGAGGGTGTGAAGATTCCCTGGTGATTCAGACTTCCAGCATGGGTGACTTAGGGCTCACAGTCTTGCTAACCACACAGAAATGGAGGAGCAACAAGTGTGAGGCTTTGAAGAAAAGTGAGTTCAAATTTGAGCTTGCTGTGTTTAGCTTGAATTCAGGAGAACATTCTGGGGCTATTGGTGGAATTGATAGGGAAAGCAACCAGAATGCCTAAAGCCAAGCTGGGAGAGAAGGGCATGGGAATAACTGAGCTGGGCATGACCATCTCCTGCCATTAAAAACCCAAACTGTGTTAGGCAGGATTCTCTAGGGAAACAAAATCAGGACACTTATGATTATATATATAGGTTTATGTAGCGAGAAGGAATATAACAGCTAATTAGTTCACACAGCCGTACAGAGGGCTCAGTTCAGCTCACTTTTGTGGAACAGTTAATATACTGAAGGTCCTTCAACTCACTGCTGGTCCAAGGTCAAGGAAGCAGACAGGCAAGACAAGCAGGGTGGGGCAGCAACAGCAGGAAGATGAGAAGTTGAGGTGTAGCAGAGGCCAGGAGCTCAGGAGCATAACTAAGTGGTTCTGTTGGATCCTCATGGATCCTCAAGAAGCTTGGCAAAGCAGGTCTTGCTGGACTTCAAGCTCTAGCAATGCACCCATGGCAAGATGACATGATCCTGCGGTTGGCCCGGCTCCCAGTAGTGCAGCACACGGTTGAGGCAAAGGAGTATTTCATGCAGCAGAGTGCTGGTTAGATCACCGGGGAGACAAGCGAAGGGGGCCAGCCTTGGAAAGCCATTTATCTTGTCGCCTTCCAATCAAGCTGTGACCTGATAAAACTCCACCCACATGTTCCTATGGAAGCCTAGTTGGCACAATAAACCTATCACACAAACAAAAACATACAAGTCAGCACAGTAACAGATTAGTTGAGGTATTTGAAACATTAAAGTTGGTCATACTATAGTGCCTCTCCTGCAAGATTTTTTGTCATACTATAGTGCTTCTCCTGAAAGAGTTGAGCTAAACTCTAGGTTCTTTATGTAGTACACTAAAAACCAAACTCCCTGCCACTGAGTTGATCTGACTCACAGTGACCCTAGAGGACAGGGTAGAACTGCCTCCAGGTGTTTCTGAGACTAATTCTTTACAGGAGTAGAAATCCTTGTTTTTCTACTCCGGAGTGACTGGTGGTTTAGAATTGCTGACCTTGCAGTTAACAGCCCAACTCTTAAGCACTGCGGCTCCAGAGTTTCCCTTTATGTAGCATAAGTGAGGAGGCTAACATGCAGAACGGAGGCAATGAAGGGTGCACATTGACTCATTTGTCATTGAGCCGCTGGCCACTCAGGACATCCTACTGACTTCTTATACTGACACAAAGGTCACCGTTTTTCTGAAGCTGAGGGACAGGCTGGCTTGCTGGCCATTGGAAAACACAGCTTTGAGCCGCTCTGCCCTTAGTCCCTTACCATGACTTACCATAAGAGAATGAAGGTAGGTCTTTGTGTGTAAAAAAATTCTAATCTAGGTGCAGGAAAGGTGAGCGGATAAAATTAGCAACAGATATCCAGGCAGGCCCTGGGTTATGAACATCAGCACTATGGACAACTTGTACTGACCTTTGGGTTGGTAAATTTGCCCTCTCTTTGAAATGATCGAACCGCCTCCTATGCACCACAAATTCTTCATCACAGCCATCTGCACGTGCTCTCCATATAGCTTCCCGATCATGGCCAAGGCACGGACCCCTTGTGTACGGCTAAATAAGAATTCTCTGCACCTGCTCAGACTTACCTCCAGGTCCGATGTAACCACACGCTTTGGGATGGATCTAGTATAGAACTCGGGGTCTTCTTGTATTTACAAATTATTTGGTGGGGCAAATTTGCCAACACTGTGTAAAGGGATATGGCTCATCAGTGGAATGGGCCAAACCTACAGACCAGAAAGGATTCTGTTTCCTTTCAGGCCATGGAGGACCTGGTGTTCACAGGGCTGGTGAAATACATCGGGGTGTCGAATTTCAACCATGAACAGCTCGACAGACTTCTGAATAAGCCTGACTTGAGAGTCAAGCCAATAACCAACCAGGTGAGCTTGTACACAGCGTCAAAGGGTTCAACGGACCCCGTTGGCTTTTAGCCACTGCCTTCATATGGCTATCCTAGAAATGCATGTGAAATATGCGTTTTTCTTTAGGGCTATCAAAATGGTAACTTAGGATATCAGTCAGCCAAATGCATGGTGGCTATATAACTGAGGGTTTTGGGGTTTTTTTTGAAAAATACTTCTCTTGTTAACCTCAAAACTCCAAACCCCCTGCCATCAAGTCAGATCTTACTCATAGCAACCCTATAAGATGGAGTAGAACTGCTTCAAAGGTTTCTGAGAGTAGAAATCTTTACGGGAGTAGGAAGCCTCATCTTTCTCCCATGGAGTGACGCGGGGTTTGAACTTGTGGGTAGTAGCCCAACCCTTAATCCACAGTACCACCAGGGGTCCTTATCTGGTTCCAAAAAACCAAACTCACTGTCATTGAGTTGATGGCAACTCATAGTGGCCCTATTGGACAGGGTGGAACTGCCCTGTGGGTTTCCAAGCCTGTCACTCTTTATGGGGGGTAGAAAGCCTCTTCTTACTCCCATGGAGCTGCTGGTGGTTTCAAACTGCTGACCTTAAATTTAGTGGGTCAGCTTGTAACCACTATGGCACTCTGATCAGGTGGGGCTTGAGTTGGAAGTTGATTTTCCACTGAAGCTGTGGGGCGAGCCACTGAGACTGTCAGCGATGGCCCTTCACCCCGTCCTCAACCCCAGGTGTCTTGGCAGCATTAGAGGGATGGGTTTCAGACTAGGCTCATCGACTCTTGCTAAACTGCTCATATGTACTTTATTCCTTGAATGCAGAGAAATGACTTGAGGGAAGGTCTGTTGCATTCCTAGACTGATTGACTTGGCTTTACAAGGCCCACAGAAATTTGTGTTACTTTGGAATCCTGGTGGTGTCGGCGGTTACATGTTGGGCTTCTAGCCACAAGGCCAGCAGTTAGACCCACCAGCTGCCCTCTGGGAGAGAGATGCAGCTGTCTGCTCCCTCAAGCTTTACAGCCTGGGAAACCCAAAGGAACGGTTCTGTTCTGTCTGGTGGGGTTGCTATGAGTCAGAATTGAGTCAATAGCAGATTGACTTAAATTTAAAATTTTAAATTTTACTTCAAGTTTTTATGAAGGTGTCAAGTCCACATAAAATAACAGAGCTTGATGAGTTCTAATAAACGGCGACCAGCATCGAGACTAGGAAACAGAACCTCGCCTATACCTTAGAAGGAACCCACCATGCTTTCCCCCAGCCCCTCCCCCGTCCCTGTTGAGAGTAACCAATATTCTGATTTTTAGCAGCAGAATTTAGTTCTAGAATTTCATATAGATAAAACAATGCCTTCTGTACTCTTTTGTGTCTGGCTTCTTGCCCTCAACATTGTTTGTTAAATTCACCAATATTCCTGTATGATTGGAAACTGTACATTCCTTTTTTAAAAAGAATATTTTATTGGGGGCTCTTACAGCTCTTGTAACAATCCATACATCAATTGTATCAAGCACATTTGTACATATGTTGCCATCATTATCTTCTGGACATTTGTTTTCTGTGTAATATTTCATTGTGGGACTATACCACAATTTTTATCTATTCTATTCTTCTATCCTCCTGTTGGTGAGCAAGCACTTGAGTGCTTTGAGTAGTTCGGGGCGAATCAGAATAGATCCTCACTCTCTTTAATAAGTAAACTTGTGTAATATAATATGCATACAGATAAGTGGCTAAATCATGAAGTACAGAGCCCATTGGATTTTCATTGGTCACATTCAAATAGTCAGTTATAGAGCAGGCCTTCCAGACACACCTCTCATGTCTCTGTCTACTACTCACTATCCACAGAGCATCACAAACGTCTGATTTCAAGAGAGTAGCTTCCTTTGGCCTATTTAACAATTTTTTATAGTAAAACTTGTGAAAGGTGACACCTGTGGAACTAGCGCAGAAGCCTGTCAGAGACGGAAAATGCAAGTGTTTCACTCGACAGAGAGCAGTAGACTGATAGCGTGGGGACCATACCCGGTCAGGTGGAAACATGGAGAAGTCCAGAGACACGGGCTGTCCCAACGACATCCGGTTCTGATAGGCGCCACTGTGCACATGGGATCTTTTCATGTACATAACAGATTCCTTTTGCATTGGCTGTATTTTGTTGAGCAACACCTTAAGGTGCTAGGAAAGATGGTTGCTTCCTCTGAGGGAATATGACGTAGTCTCTTGGGAGGGCTGTTTTCTTGTTGGGATTGTGAACATTCAGGAATTCAGAATACTCGGAAACATTTTAAGACAGCTAGGCAAACTTCTCTCTCTTTCTCTCTGGGGGAAGTGGAAAATGCTCGTTCAATTTTGTTTTGTTTTTTAACAATTTACTTGACATACGAGGGGGTACCCAAAAAACCACTGGACTTTTTTTAAAGCTATGTATTTAATTTTTTTTACAAAACAACCTTATCACCTTCAATGTACTTTCCATTATACTTAATACATTTGTCAAATCTGCGATTCCATTGTTGGAAACATTTTTTAAACTCATCTGTTTGGATGGCTGGCAACAACTCCCTCAGTTTTTTTCTTTACCTCTTCTATGTTGTCAAATTGCTGTCCTTTCATGTCCCTCTTCATTGGGGAAACAAAAAGAAGTCCCACCAGTGAGGTCAGGTGAGTCAGGTGTGTGGGGCAAGAGAGGCATGCTGTTTTTTGCCAAAACTGGCACCCTGCTCGCCAATGAGCGAACCACGATCGTTATGCCAGTTCTACTCTTTTAGAGTTTTCCTGGAAAACCATCAGTCTGAATATTTGTCGTAACTGTGCTTCTGTCTGTAGATTGAGTGCCACCCATATCTGACTCAGCAGAATCTGATTAAGTTTTGTCAATCCAGAGACGTCTCCGTGACTGCTTACCGTCCTCTTGGTGGTTCTTGGTAAGATGTGTTGGTGGTTGTGTTAGTCAAAGGCCTAGCAGGGAGGTCCAGGCCACACTCTACTCTAATTTGGACAGTTTGAGGAGGGTTTCATGGGGATGGGCAAAGCACAGAGAAACCACAGGGAGCTCGTAGGTGGAATGGTTAATGCCTCTAGACCCAAAGGGCTAAAGGGAGGGAGCTGTTACTGGAGCCAGAGGGAGACGGTCACCCCGAGGGGCATGCTTGAGAGGAGCAGGAACGGCTTAAGGGAAATAGCTGGCTGGAAGAGGCTTCTTGTACTGATTTCTTTATTTTTTTCTTAATCATTTTACTTTTATTTTATTTTTAAAAATCATTTTATTGGGGCTCATACAATTCATCACAATACATACATCAATTGTGTAAAGCACACTTATACATTTGTTGCCCTCATCATTCTCAAAATTCGCTTTCCTCTTGGGTTC